AAATGTCTCTCTGGGGACCAAGAAGCACAAAGCTGAGACTGTTGCCTCAAAGCGACTGTTTGCAAATTGGGAGCTTAATGCAATCCACAGGTGGGAAAGGTGTGAGGCTCTGGCTTTGGAAGTCTCTCTGTTGTGGTACACAAAGCCTCTAAAGTCACAGCTGGAACTCTTATTACTTTTCCTTTGAGAACTCCTTCCCCCCAACCCTGCTTGGTTGGTGCTTTCATAAAATGCCACAGTTGATTTGTTTTCTGTGAAAGTGATAATAATCTATTGTCAAAAATCCACCAAGTAGGACTAGCCCACTCTTCTGACCTCAGCCCCACACAGGAACAACCACCAAAGCTTGGCCTTTGTTCTCTGCTCAATCCATTCTCCTTATCCCAATAATACTAAATCTAGTTTAGGCCATTCAATCATGTTAGGCATACTTTGAAAGTATAAAATGAATCTTTATGCTGTTGCTATGACAGAATCAGTCGTCAAAGGGCCAGTCACTATGATCAAGCTGGTAATGCAATACTCTGCAATGTTGACCCACATGGTAAAGTCCCAGGTTCAAATCTTGAGATCTCCCTGTGCCAGTGATCTGGGCTGGTTGAAGATGGCTTTGGACTGTGTCATAAAGATTCTGTTGAGGATGTCTGTCTTTCTCTCTCTCTGTCTCTCTGCCTTATGGAAGAAACAAATGAAAAAACTTCCAAATCAAGTATTGGATTTCATTATTATAAATACAGAGGGATGAGGGTCTTATCATTAAATTTTCTTACTCTTGCACCACATGAAAGTAAGTTGCCATTTTTTAAAACCTCTGACGTAACCATGTCTGTTTTATTAATGGACAAGGAGTTTTACAGCCATTTGTAAAAACAAAACTTTCACAGAGTACCCCATCTCCCAGACCATTACTTTAAAAGCAAACTAGATTGGTCTGAGGATTTATTCCTAGAAGATCCTAGATTAGAAGAGGATTTCATTGTTTCAACTTTTATTATGTGATAGTAAGAAATAAGTGGAAACATTCTATAGAAGTAGTAGTAGACTAGTTAAATAAACGCTATCTCACTATGAGAAAATGATACATAAAAATCATCAGTGAACTGTGAAAATGACCAATTCAACTTCAAAACATTGGTAAAGTATGGGCTTAGTTTTGTTAACTATGAATAAGCATATCTAGAGGCCAGACAGAGGTACAATGGTAATGCAGTGCTCTGTGGGGCTGACCCACACGAGAAGGTTCTGAGACCTTTCTGAATCCACAGGCATTTGCTTGCCCATTGCCCAGGGCTGACCAAAGTGTGGGGTAAAGACCCTGTTGGGAATGCCTAGCTCTCTCTCTTCTCTCTCTCTGTCTTCATTGCTCATGAAAGAAAGAAATATCCTTTTAAAAAAAGATATGCATATCTATAGAGAGAGAATGAACATTGGCAGGAAAGTTCTTATGGATGG